AGTCTGGACTGGAGCCCTGTACGTCTGCCAGGAAGCTAAACGTGATGTAATTTAGATACAATAGTAATATAAAGCAAATAGTGAAGCCCTGTAAACTTCTGGAGCTCAGTGACACATAACTACCTGCTTTTCATCGTTGGCACAAACACCAAGAGGGAACAAAAAAAACAAATCTGTCTCCTGCGCTGCTCTGGATTATAAATCTTCAGTTTACCGGCTGACAGCTTGAATCACACAATCAACCCAAAACAATCCCCTCCAGAGGTGTCCTGACTGGGACGGCCCAGTGCTGCCACGGAGGCCTAGAATCACCTGTGGGTCCCTGAAGGCATCATCAGGACGGCCCATAAAGGTGACACCTCGGTTAGCTTTCTGCTGCGTTTCTGCTCCACACCAACACCTCACATCCCGTCACGTTCACTCATTTACACCTACACTGACAGTAACACGCCACTATTATTATTAGTTGTTAAATGGTTTGCGCTTGGTTGAAATAAACGTCCTTATTTTGAGTTAAATCTGTGTCCGTTGCCAAGACAGAGGGGGGATTATTTCCTGTAATTTGGGGTTTCTTTTGTTCTTATTTCTAAACTTCTTTACATAAAGGATAGCCATAAATTACACACTGCATACATTTTCTGTAAATTCCCTCCATTGTAATGTCATTTATCAAATCATTTTTGACAAACTAAATCATTTATTTTGGTTCCTATGAGAGGAAAAGTTCCATTTATATTATATGTTTATTGTGAAACCTGAACCTTTGACAGCCTGTGTTCAGTAATGCACACAAATTAATTATTTGACAGTATTTTCTTTTACATTTCTACATCATAATCTTTAGAAATTAGCCCCGTGTTCGCTGTAAGTGCCGTTTTAATGCGGTGAGGAGACATTACATAATCAGCCTGGTCTCTACGTCACCCAGCTGTCACTTCTAATGTCACAGAAAGAACAAATACGACGGATCCTTTTGCCTTCGTTCACCGAGACATCAGCTGACTCCAGCTTTAGACCATCTGGGCCTCTGGGAACGCACAACTCTGCTCTTATAAATTCATAAAAACAAAAACCTTTTTAGCTTCAAACTAATAAAAACAGACGTGAATCCACATCAGCTGTTCATCTTCCCACACAGCAAGAAATCTAAAGTTCAACCTCTTTCTGCCCACAAGGAATAAACGGCTCCACTTTCTGATTTTTACTCTCGATTTTACATCAATAAAAGCACTAAAACTGATATTTTTTGGCACATTTTAAAACCTTTTACACAAATAATTTTAACCACAACCACCCCAGAGTTAACGTTTGTCTTACCCGAGCGTCCCAGCAGACTAAATAGTTTCCTAACGGGTCCAGACCAGCAGACAGGAGCCGTGGATTTGTCCTGGTCCGTGTGCTCCTCTCGTCTTTACCTGCCTGCTGAGCTGCAGTTTTAGTCAGACTCAGCTGGTTTTTACGGTTGTTCGGCGTCTCCTCTGCTTTCCTGTGAGGTGCTGAATGTGCAGCAGCCCGGCCGGAGCCTCCTGCATACTTTTCTGACAACCTGGGATTTTATGCATCATGCTTTTAATAAGCGCCGACAACACAGACGAGAAGCCTCTCCAAACTTAACCCCCACCACCTCCACCTCCCACACACACACTCACACACACACACACACACACACACCTCTTCAGGCTGCCTGATCCCTGGATTTACGGGCTTAGTATTAAGAAAATACTCCTGCAATTTGGGATTAGACCCCCAAAAAAACCCCTCTCACAACAACAATGCCTCCGCCGTCCATTTGATATCTTGATACTTGTCATGTGGCTTTGTCGCCGTCAGCTGCAGCCAATTTAAGCACAAATGACACAACAAACACTTAATAATTTCCCTGAACAACATTTTGTCCCCGTCTCTTTTGTTATATGATTATTTCGGTGCCTCGGGGCCAAAAGGTCCTGCATGTAATTCTAATTCACGACTACAGACGGAGGGAATTGATTTGTTTATTGCTGAATTTATCTGTAGCTGCTTGTACTTTGCTGAAACCAAATCTTGATAGGAGTGCACACGAGGCAGGCCTGGAAGTATTTCTGTCATTATTAGGTTGGTGGGTGTGTTTACATGTACAGTATTAATTATAAGCTGTGGCTAAAGTCAGTTAGAGGTCCAATAACTCAGGACAGAGGCAGCTGAACTAAACTAAACTGCATCAGAGGATAAAAACAGGCTCCTGTGCTAAAGTAAATATCAGTGCAGTAATATGAAGAGTAAATAAATAAAAATCAGCCTTTAGAGCTTGTAGGAGAGTTGCTGCCTTTCTATTTAATTTAACTTTGTGGAACCCTGAAACACATTTCTAGTGTGTTTTTTTCCATGCTATGCTAGCTGCTTTAGGCTAATTTCTGCTTTAATGAATGTAGCCTAGCATTAAAAAGAACCTCCCTGTTGTCATTTCTTCCCTCCTGGCTGCTGTTAAATATATAATCCTGTCTTAACACATTGTTCAGACGTTTTAATGACGTTTTATTTGGACTATTTTCTTCTTTCTTCTCTCCTCCAACTCCAAACTTTCCGACCCAAACTTTTCACTCGCGTCACGTGGCCTGCCTTCCCATCGCAAAAGGGGGGGAGGTGGGGGCGGGTGTTTACGAGTGCAACTCGCGTTCCGATTGGCCCGCCGCGTCGCTCCGTGCGGCCGCAGCGCGCTCTGATTGGCCGGCGGGCCGAGGCTCGCTTGGCTCATAGAGGCTCGGGCCTCGGAGCGCAGCATCAATCTCCATCCGGCCGGAGAGCGACAGGAAGCGGCGCCGAGTTTCTCACTTTTCTGCCCTGAAATGTTTTAGCTGGAACCGAGCGGAGCTGCCAGAGGAACGGTCTCTCATGTGGATATTTCCCCTCAAACTCTGGATCTCGTTTGTTTGACATTTAAGAGGAATTTTAAATAAAGAGCCACAAGAAGGTGAGATTTTATTTAATTTATCCTGCTCATGTGTTGGTGTTTGATAGTCTGATCAACATATGTTTTGCCTGTAATTTATTTATTGTAATAAATCCTTACAGTAAATAAATGATACCTGCTGGTTAAACTTTGTTTTTCCTCCAGCCTCCTGCTGCAGCTCTGCTCCGCTGATAAGGGCGCTCTGCTAATTGTCGGCCTGTAGATCTAATCTAAATTCTAATGGAGCTCATTTGCACACAGTTTTCGGTGCATTTGCATTGAGTAACTCCTTCCTGTGGTGATGGAAATAAGTCAGGGGGTCTTCTAACGCCTCGGTCCAGATCCAGGAGCAGGAGGCCTCGGGCACCTCTCAGGGATGATTAAAATAAAATAAAATAAAATAAAAAAGCAACTGAATTTGACCATTTACCTGCTAAAAAAAGTGGATTTATGGAAGTCCTCACCTGAAAACACTGTCTTACACTCATACTAACTGTTAGCAGTGAGGGCTGGTTCATAAAGCTGCAGGAAAAAGGAAAGATGCGGGGATGTTAACAGCTGAGAAAAATGCGTTTTTTATTTGTTTTGGCGCATTTTAATAACCTTACTCAACTTTATTCTATTTTGCCTTAAACTATTTCCCGCATCATGCCCAAAATAATTAGTTTATTTACTTTTTTTCAACCACGGTTAAAGCGATTCCTCACAAAATAATTGTAATATGACACAAAAAAACGAACAGCACTCAAATAAAATAACCCAGAAGTAGGTGCAGGAATATTAATAATTAAAAATAAAACATGCAACCGTGTGTGACAGCTATAGCCTAAATAATTCTAGAAAAATATGAGGAAAATAAAACCCCCAAAACAAAAAATATGATATTAAATTAAACTAGGCTTTAATTTAAAATTAAAAAAAAATAAATCTGCGTCCCGGTTTGATTTAATCATCCCGGAGCTTCACATTCCAGCAGAGACCTGAGGAGGTGAGAGGAGTCTCCAGCGACCAGTCATTTAAACTCCACAGGTCGATTTAATTGTGAGCTATTGAATTAATTAATGAAGATGTGGAAGATAGCAGCAGCCTGCCTGTATAGCGTCACGTTTGGACGCTGTTTGGTTTTTTATTTTTTAATCAGAGTTTGTCCCGTGAGATCATCCCGGTGACACCTTTAATTATTCCTCCTGCAGCCTGATGTTATCTGGGAGTGAAGGCCTGCTGCTGCTGCTGTCACACGCTGCTCCACGTGAATCTCACTTTCTGGGTTGTTTTTTTTTTTCCTCTCTTGAAGAATTAACAGAAAAGTTCACATCCTCCTGCTGGATTTCCTGGAAGCAGAGGTTTTTATTTACACGTTGAATACGGAGGAAATTAGACTGGAACAGCTTCCCATCCACCTAAATGTAGAAAATAAACAGATGACAAAAATAGTTTCCAAATTATTCTTCGTGTCGTTGTGTTGTAGAAAGTTCTGCGTTTTCATTCAGAATGCTGTTAAATGGGGTTTATTTTAAACGCGTAAAAGCGCAAATTCGACTATTTTTTAAACGAAAATCAGCACAAAAATTTTGATAATCCGATTGCTTCATAGTGTGTTTGTGTTTTTTTTTAGCGTCTCTTGTTTTAGATCAGCAGGTTGTGCAGAAGAGTTTCGAGTTTATTTATAGTTTAGTTCATAGTGGGGCCAGCGCACATAAACTAAAGCTTATTGCACATTTTATAGGTTTGCATTTAAAAAGTTTGCGGCGCTTTAACGGCTCCAGAGACACGTTTTTATCTGGTTAAGACTTTACTGAGTTGTTAAATCCTTCCATCGTTCTTTATTCATTTTGGCGCATGCGTAAAATAAAATCTAAAGTATTATTATATATGTTTTACTTCCTGCTTCTTTTAGACTTTTGATTGCTCTGCAGCTGAAAGCATTTCCTCCTCTCGGGGATCAATAAAGTATTTCTGGTTCCGTGTTTCCTCGCAGCGGACCTGAGCACCGGGGAGCTGCGCGTCTCACCGACCGGGATCCGCACCTGTTCGTCCGTCCAGACTCCGGTCCCCCCTCCGAGCTTCTAGCATGATGTCTTATCTCAAACAGGCCCCGTACGGCATGAACGGACTGGGCCTGAGCGGGGCCGCCATGGACCTGCTGCACCCGTCTGTTGGATACCCAGGTAGGGCCACACAGAACCACACAGAACCACAGAGCTCCTGGAGGGTCCAGGTTCAGTCTAATAATAATAAATATAAAAATAATAATAGTAATAATAATAATAATTCAGGAGATTTGCTGGAAGTAAAGGTTTGAAACTTCCTAGACTTTTTTTTCTGCTGTGGTTTTACTCATATTTTATAAAATATAAAATAAAATGTGGGCTGTATTTTATACTGTGCTGATGTTTTATTTTTAACTTTAGTAGTTTTCTATAATATTTTTGGAGCCTTTTTGGGAAATTTAAGTCCATGTTTCTGTCAAAAGAAATTATTAAAGCGACTTTAAACTGAGCTGGTAAAGAGTTCTAATCGACTCAAGCCTGTTTTCATCATTTTGGAAATAAAAAAACAAGCTTCTTATGAACTTTGATTCTGTGTTCGTTGCGCATTTGGAGCCTGTATGTTCTAATTTTGTTGTTGTGGATAATAAATGGCTTTTCATCAAGAATAATGGGAACCGGAGAGAGAAGAAAAAATAGGTTTCTGCATTTGGAAACTACAGGGCATCGTGGTAATGGCGCTACGGCAGCAAATCAGATGAGAAATGATCGAAAAGCACTTTTACGCACGAGAGCGCGCAGCCGCAATTCAGTTTCTAACTTTTGGGGGGGATGTTAAACAACAGTTTACACATTCAGCATTATTTGATCCGATGATAAGCACGGATTGATTTATTTTATTCTTCCAGGAAACCCGCGGAAGCAGCGCCGGGAGCGGACCACCTTTACGCGGACGCAGCTGGACATTCTGGAGTCGCTGTTCGCCAAGACGCGCTACCCGGACATCTTCATGAGGGAGGAGGTGGCGCTGAAAATCAACCTGCCCGAGTCCAGAGTGCAGGTCAGCGTTCACGACAACGGGGAATTTTAAATGCTGTGGAGTTTAGAAGGAAGATGAAGCACGGAGGGAATCTTTTGTAAACTTCGAAAAAATATTCTTTGAGTTTGAGCGAATAACTCGTGCGTTCAGTCTGTTTTCCTGAGAGCTAAAAAGCAGACACACACACTTGAGGAAAAGCTGCCAGATTTCTAGACATGTCATCCCTCTCAGCTTAGTTTGATATTTTCCTACGTTTACTGAACGGAGCGCAGCCGCAGTGTGTTCCTGCGCTCAGGCTTTAACGTGTTGCCTTCTTTCACCTCAGGCCTCTGCGTGATTAGCTCCAGTGTGCCCAAAAAAATGTTCAGCTATTATTGATCAAGTAGAGACAAGTCTTTAATGAAAGGGGAGAATTTGGCAGAATGAAGGGCCGGCTTTTGATGTGGTGAGCTGTCTTTAGAAAAGGCTCTGAGAGGGTTTCCATGGCCGGCTTTAGCGGCCCTCTGCTGGGCTTAGAGCTGCAATTATGGCCGCTGCCTCTCTGCTTTCTGCTGCTGCTG